CCTAAATCTTAAACCCGAAACTATTTGGAAGGAATTACACGGAACCAGCTCATCAACCAGGCCTCTGGGACCGTAGGTCCCTAAGTACCTTTATAGTAGGATGTAAGGGTTTAGGGTTAAGGGTTTAGGGGTTCAGGGTTTTAGGGTTTAGGGTTTAGGGATAGTCAATATGATTTGGAAAGTATCCCCCCACAACGGTACTTCGGACCCTTTGGGTAAAGCTTTTCTGGGGCTGAGGGATTCGGGTTGATGGAACTTTCCGGACTCAAGGGTAAACGGGGTTTCGGGCTTAGGGGTTTAGTTTAGTGCCTATCGGGTTTAGGGCTTCGGGTGTAGGAAGGTTGGGGTGTATGTACAAGGGTTCAGCATGTGCGCTTATCGGTCCGGGGGCTTCTGGAATCAGGGTTCGCGCGTTAGGGCTTCAGGTTGTTCAGAGGTTTAGGGTTTATAAACCCCAAACCCCTAAACTCTAACCCTAAATTAATACTTATAATAGCAATAATAATCACCATATAATCATAATAATATAATAGTAATATAGAGGCTTAGGATCGGGGCTTCGTGGAAATGGGTCCAGGGCCTTGTGCTTCAGGCTTTACGAGCTTTTCGTAGGACACTGGGCGTGGAATGGGGATCGCATCGCTTTTGGCAGTTCGGGGATGACAAAGCAAGCCCTTAGCATCAAAATAGCCCAGAAGCCTTGTATAATACGGTCTTTGGGCCCAAAAGCATATGAGTCCTTAGAGGGTAAGAGAAGACATCATGTGGGGCCGCACGTAACCGGTGGAAGGTCCAAGGTGCTGAAGCAACTAGGTTAGTCAGTGGCATGCGCTGTTTTACTTTTGATTTTATGGTCCTATGTTTCTAAATTCTACTATGACGAAACTACCGCCCCCCCCCTCCCAATAACAAAAATACTAGCATTTTTTCCACGGGTAGGTGAGCCTTAGCCTCCGATCCTACGAGTCCAAGTAAGTAGCCCTTCCCGATTTATTGGCCTTCCCAGAGACTCCAAAATATCCCTTAAACTAAGGAATATCTACTTTAAAATCTTAGCAGGATCCCTGGGATGCTTTAAGGCCCGCACCCTAAACCTTAAACCCCAAACTTTGTGTTATAAGGGTTATTGGAGCCTCGGGGTTCTGTCGCCCAAAACGGCCTCAAAGTCCCAACTTTACACGAGGCCATGCCTGAGGAGTGGCTCATGACAAGCGCATCCTCTTGTGGGAGGCTTTGCTCCGCCAGGATGATTATGACGACTTGGGGGTGGTAGACTTCTTGAAGCAAGGTGTTCCTCTTGTTGGGACATCCGATTGTCCAGCGTACTTTGAGAAAAGGGTTCGACCCGCAGTTCTTACTGAGGCCGAGTTGCGGGCAGCGGCTCCTGACCTGCCCCAGGGCATGAAGTCCAGATCTCTGAACCAGGAGCCTGAACACATGGCCCATCTGCTGCTGGAGGCCACCAAGGAGGAGCTGGACGCAGGGTTCATAAACGGCCCCCTCACCGAAGAGCAGGTGACTGCCGAGTTTGGTCATCCGAATTGGCTGGCCATCCGTCGCTTCATCATCAAGCAAGGGCCGAAACTCAGGCCCATTGAGGACTGCTGCGAAGCCCATCTAAATGAGGCCTACTCGGCAACGATCAAACTCAGACTTCAGGATGCAGGCTTCTTCATTGCAATGGCTTTGGAGGTGGCCCGTCTCTCGGGGAGGCATCCAAAGGCTGCGAGGCCTTGGGTAGCCAAGTCGAGACAAAAAAACACAAAAGGAGTGCTTTCGACCCCGAGGTGGGGAAACTAATCCCCCGAAATTCTAAGCCATACCTGGGCCCTAGGAAGCCTGCCTCTTGAGGGCTCCTTAATAATCTGATTTCCTGGGATTCAAAAACCTACAGTTTTAAGGGTTCTACCCTGTAATTAAGGGGGTCATAACCTGCTATTTTGTAGGGTTTGGAGTCACAGGTAGGGTTTAATTTAGGGTAGGTTGTGTTTGGGGTTAAGGTAAATGATGTCCTGGATCCTCCGTCCCTGCCCTGATGCCGACCTTGGCTGCCCCACTGGTTTTGTTCACACAGCCTCATTGACTTAATACAATCTACCTACAGTCTCCATTGTAGTTCCTTTTAAGTTTAGGGTTTAGGGTTTCGGGGTTTATAAGGTTTAGGAATTTTTTGGTTTAACCAATTTTAGATTAAGGAACCTAAAAGGTTCCCCAACGAGGAACTACAATGGAGACTATAGGTACCTTGCCCCCAAAGTGCACCCCAGTGTTTAAATTCCCTTGAAGGCCTAGCACAGGCTCCATCGGTACATTGACCTCTTTGGGGTTACGGTGATTTTCTTGGCTGATCCGCCTTTGCTAAGCCTCAGGGTAGTGGTTCAGGCTCTCAGGGCTTCCATGGTGCAGGTTGCAGGGCGAAGTGCACACAACCAGATACGTTTCCCCGGGGTTGTTGGATTGATCCCTAAAACCCCGAAACCCCTAAACCCTAAACCCTTAAACCCTAAACCGGTAATATCCCATGGAACCCTATCCGTCAAGAAGCCTTCCGTGCTGTCTTGATCCTTAAGCCCAACGACTCCAATACCTTCAGGAATCTACCTTAAGTTATAGTAGGATCCCTAATATGATTTAAGGTATATTCCTTAATTAAGGTATATTGGAGTCTCTGGGAACCCCAAACCCCTTGCTGTTTCAAGGTTGCAGGCGACGCAGAGGGACCAGCACGCACAGAGACCTTAACCCTTGTTTACCAAGAGGGTCCATATATACTACCATTATGGAATTAGGTCCCACAAGACCATTCATATTATGGTTTTTGGGGACCTAATTCCATAATAGTAGTATATATGGACCCTTAGGGTTAGGGAATAGTATTCAGGGTTATACTTCGGCTCATTTGTATTGGCTTTAAGGCCCTTGTTTATACTTTCTTGCATGTTCCTTTATGTCGATGCTGGAAGACCCTCTCCAAATTCTCAAGCAATGTGTTCTGGACATGAAGGGTGTTGGACTCTCTGCGCGGCTCGCTCTCCGTGCAGGAAAGGATGCTGGACAATCGTAAGCGCCCTCTGGGAAACTGCTGGGAGCTGCTGAGGACGCCCGGAGCCCTGAAACCCTAAAGTACGTAGAATGGTGTGCCCTAACCCTAAGGGTCCAAAGGACCTAATAATCATAGACTTGGGTTACGGATAGTAGTTTTGTAGGTTAGTATTCAGAAGAGTATATGATCATTAGGTACTTGGACCCTTAGGGTAAGGCACGAAGCATGGACCCTCGGGCCATGATTTGAACCTTAAACACCCGTAGGTCCTCAAGCCGTAAACCCCAAAAACCTCAACCACCGACCCCATAAACCCTCAACCCTAAACCTTGAACTGCAGAAAAACGTGAGCCTTAAAACCTGTAAAGCCTTACGGTTGATGATGTAATCCTGCATTACCTTAAGGCCCCTAAACTATGGGAATTATGGTCTATTCCTTTCTATGGGTAATGCAGGATTTGTACCATCAACCGTAGTCACTTGCAGAGACACGACTTCCAGATCCCTGGCAGCTTGGAACTGCGAATCCTGAAGCTATAAGCCTTCTAAACCCTCTAAAACCCCATAAACCCTATAAAACCCTCTTATAAAACCGTTTAAGCCCTATAAACCCTATAAATCCTATAAAGCCGAAACACTACTGTACCATCGCCCAAAGCCCTGAAACCCCAACTCGCCAACACCCTAAAACCCCTATGTGTACGGTTAAGGGTTTAGGGTTGAGGGCTTCGCCGAGGCCCTAAAACCCCAAAGCACAGTTGCATCGTAGAAAGAACCTGTGAGTCCAAAAACCCTGCCGTTTTAAGGGTTATAGACCCAGTGATGAATGGGTCATAACCTACTATTGTGTAGGCTTTGGGGTTACAGGATGAGCTAGGCTGAACCCCTGAAGCTGACCCTAAATCCACACCTGTAGCCCCAAACCTTACACAATATTACCTATAGTCTCCATTGTAGTTCCTTTTGGGGGTTACTTTTTAGGTTCCTTAATCTAAAAATGGCTAAAACCAAAAAAGGAACTACAATGGAGACTGTAGGTAGGTTAACGAGCCTACCTGGGAGTCCAAACCTAATCTTTTCCCCCTAATATTGAACGGGGGGAAGGGGGGCACACACAGACACACTCTCACACTCAGAGTCAGACTCAGACTCTTTCACCCTAGCACCCCCTAATTCAGAATAGGTTTTTACAGGGCAGGGATGATTTCGGGAGGATTGGGTCCAATGTGTTTTTATGATTAGGGGTGGTGGTTAATAAAGGGGGGACGGGATTACCGTGTTGAGGGTTCGGCCCATTAATTAAGGAGTCATACCCTACAATTTTGCAAGGTTTGGGGTCGCAGGAGACCCCTAAAATAGTAGGGTTTGCGGCTGCAGGACAGCACCATGGAAACAATGCAACATGTGCTGTGCTTATATATATTATATATATATAAAGAATATGAAAGACGTTGCCTCGACATCTATAAAAAGGGGACGAGTCAACCACAGAATAAAAGGGCCTGCCAGTCTAGGAGCTGGCATCATAGGGATCGAAGCAGGCCCTGTTCAGCTGTCGCATACTTTGTGGGGGCGGGCTCGGGCTGAGATAATACACAGGTCAGCTCAGGCCCTTTTCAGTCTTCTGTAGGTATGCCGAGGCTTGGCACACCCATTACAGCACTGTGCTGGCTGCTGGAGTAGGTGCCAACCCCTTTCTAGCAGTGCGTATCGCTGGCTGCACAGGTTATGTGCGAAACCTGTGGCAAGCTAAGCTAGGCCAGCCCGAATGCAGCAACAAAGTCCAAGTGCCCGGTTGACAATACTAACGCATGATTGTGCCTCCGCTGCCCCGTGAGGGTCGAGCTGCAGAGTTGTGAGTAGATGTGGCATGTGCGGCACACAGCCGAAAGATGTTCACCGCATACAAGGCGCACAAGGCCATGCATGTGCGATCGGTGCACCTGAGCTCGTAGCCATGAACACCATGCCTGTGATCGATGCCGGCCTCAAGGGCGCAGGCATCTTTTCGACGGAGCGCCATGGGGTCGGCGCGCTGCTGTGGCAACTGAACGTTCCGGAAGGCAGGCAAGGGCAAGGTGCACTGTTGACAATGTGGCCTGTCAGCTGGCAGGTGACCACCTACTCAGCCTCGTGCACCACGCCTGCGTCCCGAATGCGATTGTCGTGGAGTCGTCTGCCAGATCCCTCGTCGTCGAATTCATAGAGGTTCGGGCATGCAAAGCCATCGAGCCGGGGCAGGAGGTCACCATTCGATACCAGGACGGGCTTTTGTAAGCCTGCTTTTGAGCTCCAAAATGTGCATCTCTGGCAGGATTTCCCGCAGCCTTGCTATTGCGACGACTGCGAGCCGAAGCTGGCGCTGGAGCACCGGCACTGTGTAGTGGGCGTTTGTCCTGGTGCGGCGACGGTGAGACCAAACCGACGATGAAGAGCGTGCTGGGGTCATGGACTTTGCCGAAGGCCGACCCCGTCGACAACGCCAGAGCCAAGCTGCCCGATGCTGGACCCGAGAACTTCAGCCGCTCCGAGAATGGCTCGCTGCTGATGCGTGCGCAATTTCGCATCCTCAAAGAGGACTTCTTGAAGATGAAGCCTGCCGAGGTACACGGCGTCAATGTGAGAACTGGGAATTCCCCTGCAAGGAGCCGGCATATACTGTAACATTGCCCGTATAACACTTCAACTTCAATAACTATAATACACAGATCCTATCTGTATGCTCCCTGAGACCCGTCCTTGCTGCAGGAACTGGTCACATGGCTGCCGGAGCATTTCTCTCGGAAGTATGCCAAGATGCGCAGCAAGACTGACTTCGGCACGAGGATCCTCCAGGTGCTTCGCAAGTTGGAAGAGCAGTTGCAAAAGAAGGATGGCAAGGACATTCGGCCACTGTCACCATTGTCAGCATAGCCAAGACACGAAATTTTGCTCACCGCAGGAGTGGCTGCAGCTACTCGCTGAGATCCCTGGGTTTTGCGACAGCTCTGCTCACTCCGGCGCGCCATGCCTGAGCGATGCACAGGGAACCAAAGTTTGGGTTGTATACTGGTTCTAGATTCTACATGTTCACAGCGCACTTGTCCCTGCAGCCGCTCCGAGCATGTGAGATCTGTAACTGTAGCTGTAGCATCGACGGTCGTGTGTTTCGAAAAACGTCCCGATGCCTTGTGGCAATATGTATGTCACTATACAGCCGACAGCTCTGCTCATTCTGCTCTACGCTTCAAGGCTTTGCAGTCGTCTGACCTTTTTCCGAAGGAGCAATGCTTGCGGCCCACTTACACTCGCAGCCGTGGTGCGCCATGCCTGAGGGCTGCGTTGGGAGTCTGAAGGAACTTTGGCGTTTGGGGTGTATACTGCGGTTCTAGACTCTACATGTTCACAGCGCACTTGTCGCAGCCCTCCGAGCATGTGAGATCTGGAACTGTAGTTGTAGCTTCGGCGGTCGTCTGTTTCACAAAACGCCCCGATGCCTTGTGGCAACATGTATGTCAGTATGCAGCCGACAGCTCTGCTCATTCTGCTCCACGTTTCCAGGCTTTGCAGTCGTTTGACTTTTTGCTCCGAAGGAGCTTCGCTCGCAGCCCACTTGCACTCGCAGCCGTGGCAGCAAAAGGGAGAGTCCAGAAGACTCGCAAGTCTTGGTGCATGTGTGTGTGTGTGTCCCTGCGACAGTCTCTACGTGTGTGTGTGTGCGCCCGTGTGTGTGAGTGTGTGTGTGTGTGTGTCTGTGTGTGTGTGTGTGTGCTTCTGCGTGCGTGCAAGACCGGGCTCCAACCCTACAAACCGATGGTGGAGTTGGTCCCACGGGTTTGAAACCCTGAAACCCTGAACCCTATAACACCCTACAACCTTCAACCCTCGAGAGAGGGAGACAGAGAGAGAGCGAGAGAGAGAGAGAGAGAAATAACCTAGAGGACCTCGAGAGCTCGCTCCACGGGGCGGTGAGTTCACTCCTCAGATCCCCAGCAAACATGCAAGCAAGCAAGCAAGCAAGCAAGCAAGCGAGCAAGTGAGCGAGCGAACAAGCAAGCAAGCAAGCATGATAGATAAGGTAACCATGTTGGCTCACAATTCAATTCAAGAACGACGCCTGTCACGAACGCACTGATGCGCAATGCAGCTAGAATGGGATCGGTCACAACATCATAGGCCCTAGGCACAAAGCAGACGAATCTGCCTTCTTCGGGCTGTGAGGCTAGCACGCCCATTCTAGCATGAGCTGCTTCGCTAAAAAAGGTGGATCAAGCTGTTGGACGCACATGGTTGCCACAGACCCTTTTGAGTATGTGCCCTCTAAGTCTTGTCGCTACAGTGCCGAAGGGGTCGGTGCGACCCTCTTCATCTTAAAGCA